CGGCGCCGCGAGCTGGTGCGCTGCGTAGTCCCCCTCCGCGTGGCCTCAGTTCCCCTCCACATTAGCGTGCCGGGACAGCTATTCCCGCCCTGGAAGGGGACCTGCTGGCCGGGGCGCGTCCCGGCCCTTCCCTTCCCCAGCTCGGGCGGGCCAGGGTTCCTGCCCGCGGGGCGAAGGCGGGGCCGCGGTGGGGGAAGTTCCTTGCTCCGCGAGGTGAAGGCGGGAGCCCCTGTCCTGGGAGTGAAGCGGAGGCCGTAGGGCCCATTGTCCTGGGGGTTGAAGGAGAGGGTCCGTGCCCCGCGAGGTGAAGGCGGGGCCGCGCTCCGGGCGTGGGGCGCAGTAGTAGCTGCGTATTACGAGCGCTTCCGGCGCGTCAGCCGCTAAATATAACAAGCTGAGCGCAGCTTCTCCTTTAATCCTGCCCCTCCCCCAAAGCCGCGGTGGCGTTCCCTGTCCTTTAAATAAGTCCAACCAGCCACCAGGGCCTCAAAGCCCCACCTGATTGTCCTGCCCGCCGCCTTGCCCGCCCTGGCTGGGCCTCTCCAAGAAGTAGAGAAACGGGGCCGCCCCTCACATTGGCTTAGACTCAGTCTAACCCGCGCAGCGCCCCACTCCAGCAGTGATTGCGCGAGCGCCGCTGTGCTGGCTTGGCTCTTCGTCTGCCTCCCCCTTGACCGTGCACATCAGATCAGAGACCACTGTTGGGGTCCTGAAAAATATTTAGTGGGTGGTGAGCAGTATTTTATAAAATGAAACAATAAGAGAAAATATGGGAGAGCCTTCCACAAGACTTGAGTGCTCCGCAAAGTGGTTAATTTATACACGTGTGTATGTACACATTTGAGTGAGTACTTGGTCAGAATGTGACATGTATTTCCTACATCGAGGGCTACACACGAAAGGGGAAGTCCCTGCAGAGAACTTAATGACGAGCAAGATGGGCGTCTGCCTCCCCTCTTACGGAGGGACACAGGGCAGTGGGGGGAAGCAGGCAAATCACAGACCTAGCAGCTCTTACCCTGATGACCCCCACATCTGCACCTGGCAACATCCAGTAAGCCAGCAGTAATGAGTTTGAGAAAAGGGACAATTAGGAGAGAACATGAAGTCTTTAAAATTTACCTGCCAGGATTTACCTGTACATTCCAGAATTGCTTCTTGGCTCCTGGAAAACTGTGCTGATGAGAACAGAGTTAGCCCAGCCCCAGTGAGAGCTCTCCTGGGACCGGCATTTGGTCCCTAGACGTGAGAAAGGACTCTTCCTTAGCACAGCACAACCTTCCCCAGGGGTGCACCTGTCTGTGGGAGGCGCTGCCCCACGTCTCCCGAGACCTCAGCAATCGTCTGATCTGGCGGTCCCCTGCTCCAGACCAGATCACCTTTCCCCCACTTCCAGGTCCAGAACGTGACTTGCCCAAAGTCACAGATCCTGTGCCTCACACCTTCAGGAGTCTGAGCCACAGCCTCAATGTGTGTTAGGGATGGGGCTGCATTCTTCACTAATAGGAACTGATTCTTTCTTGGAAACAGGACCTGGATCTGGAACCCCAGGACCAGGGTGGGGTGCAGTTCCCGGAAACCTCCCAGAGCTCGCCAGGC